CTAAGAAAGTTCTATTTCACCATAGGCAATGGCTTTTATACCAATCTGTCACACTCTCGGTCGTCAGCAGAAACGCCGATGTGCCTGACGTAAATCAGTAATTAGAGTTCTTGAACATACATTGAACAGTACAAATATAATCTTCTATTATTACCGAAATAGAAATTACTTTGACAATGGCTATTGATAAATCATGACACACGCCTAACAATCTGACATTTACAAATATATAGTATAAATAACGAAAAGTCTTCTGAGTGAACACTTCCGAGCTAATAAATAACCTAAGAGTACATGCATTAAGACATGTCAGTAAAATTGTTGGTGAGTTCTACATGTTTTGACACAAAATATTTTATAATCAAAAGTGTTTTATAAAATTTCTCAGATTTAATATATTTTATAAATAAATACTTTTCTATCAAAAATATAAAATAATTGAGTTATAAAAATGTATTTGGACTCCTTTGTAAATACAATTTGTTCAAATCCAAAAGTACAAAATTTGGAAAAATCACATAAGTAAATAAGACTTATATCAAATTTTTATGGTTCTCATGACCAAAATGTGTTTTCTATAAGGATTTTGAAGACCAGTTTACATAAAATAAATTCATATCACACCTTTTGAAAACACAAAATGACCAACTTTGCTCTAGTAACCTTGTACAAGCATTTGTATAGTTTATATGTAAATGTTTAGGTTCATTTGAGACCATGTTAATTTTGTCAGATAATGAGAAGCAATCTAAAAATAATTTTAAAATACAAAATAAAAGGAAAAATACAAAAAAAAAATTTCAATTATTATTTTCGTCACTTTAATTACCTAAAAAAGTAATTAAAAAAAGGAAAAAATATCTTTTTTTTTTAAATACGTGAAATATTCTAATAGAATATTGCACTGTAAGTATTAATGCGATTTTTAGAATGTTAGAATATTTTACTATTCTACTAGATTTGTCAGATATGTAAAACATTCTAATATTATACTAGAATATTATAATATTCTACTTGAATATTTCACAAATATTTCATAAAAATGGTAATTTTTTAATTTATTTTTATTATTATTATTTTTGGATAAAAAATGACGAAAATAATATTTTAAATTTTTTTTTCAAATAATTTAAATTATTTTGCATTTTAAAAATGTTTTTTTAACTACAAAATGAGTGGCTAGGATTGCGTCTATCCGTCTCATAAAAATATAGTGGTCTCATATTAACCTAACCCTATATGTAAAACTTATAAATTTCGAATTTTTAAACTTTGTAAAATCGTGTCACGATATTGATTAAGTATTGTCTTACTTAATTTGGGAGCCGACACTTAACCAGTGGGGTAAACTCCTCCCACATAAATATTATTCTTTTTGTATAAAAACAAAATGTTTATATAAATAACTTATTAACTTTAAGTTATTAAACCTTAATTGGTCGTATCATGATATTAATTAAGTGGTACATGACTTAATTTCGGGTGTTGACACTTATTGTTTTAAGTCATAACCTATCCCACTACATACAATCTCTTTCAACTAGTATAAGTGAACAAAAACCCCGAATAAACCCAATATCGATTCTATACTGTAACAAAACACAATTGGGATTTTATAATGAATGCATAATTGAACTCGTGACACTACACTTTTTGTACCGACAAGGCATGCGAAAGTTATTCATCTCGTTATAGCAGGTGGTAATGTTCAATAAAACAAAACGTCATTGCCTAAATTCATCTCGTCAGACAATAGTTGTAGCTAGCAACTCCGGGCGGACAGTTAAACCATATAAGATCAATAGTATGACACTTATACTTGTCATTAGTCATTTCTTACGGATTAACAGTTATGAAATTAAGGATTTCCACTAATACCTTTGGTCTCAGTATCCACAATAATATATCCAAATAGCTTAGGAAATGATCCTAGCTCTTATGGCTTTAGACACAAACATAGCTCATATAGGGGAAACCCTGATTGTGTTGGAACCTAACAGTGTGTCTAGGCATCCTAATCCTAAACCTTCTGTTATAGATTCGTAGAACACCTATGGTCCTTTTATGTTTAGGAATAGTTACTGATTTACGTCTTTTAGTATTTGAGTTTCGTAAGACTTATTATATTTCCAAATTTCTATTGTATGCTATGGAGAAATTTGGGCAGCACGACGACTGCTTTTATAACATTTCCAGGTTTCAACCAAATTCTTATAATATTCAAATAGTTGCATAATTGATATGGTATACAATTTATTTGGTAACGATTCTCAAAATCCAAGAATCAGTTATGCTATTATATATGACGGATTTCATATTATAGTAAAAACAATCTATATTTTTATAATATTTATAAAAATATAATATATTGTTTATTTAAATTCATTTCATTGTGATGATCAAGAGTATAATAATAATTGATTTTGGTATATTTTCAATTAATTATTATAGTTTTTTCAATATTCGGTTATTAATCGTTTAAGGTAATGCACATCTCTTTTGTACATAACTATGTTGAATAACGTATTTGGTTATATGAATAATGCAATTTCATGATTTGTCAACATATTCATGCATATATACAACAAGCATTACAGTTTATGATTTGTCAATTAACTTATATCTTTACAACGATCTACTCAAAATCTTGTCATTTTTATTAATATTAATTAATATATCACCACAAGTTGTAATTATATCATTCATAGGGTTCTACTATAACTTATATAACTTATTGATGATTTGCTCATTTTAGATTGCTATTTCATAAACTTTTGATTAATAATAAATTATGATGTTATTTTGTGTATAAAGCTTGAAAATTATCTAACTTTAATAGACATCCCCCCCCCCCCCCCCCCTCTGAAATATTAAAATTGTAAAAGAGGGGTCATAGAAAGTCACCATTGAAGCATGAGTTTGATTTGTTTAGGAGTTGGTTCATTTTTTAGGAGCTTCGCGTGAGAAACCGTATCTTGACACACTTTTTGAGTTGAAACAAACTATCAGGGGTGTTTTGTAATGTTTTAAACTAAAGGGAGGGTTTTTGTAATGTTTTAAACTAAAGGGAGGGTTTTTGTAATGATTTAAATAAAAATGGATTATTTTAAATCGTGTAAAATAGCTGGAAGGGCTGATTTGGTTAACAACACAAACAATGGGGATATTTTGTGACACTAGTATAATTGAGGGACTAGTTTGGTAATAATACGTAAACAATGGGGTTGTTGATCAAACAATTACAAGGGTTGTTTTTTTCTCTTTTAAAATAAAGAGAGGGACTGATCTTGTACAACTAATATAACGAGGGGGCTGTATTTTGGTCATCTAATAAAAACGATGGAGGGTCTTTGTCTTTAACTGATCGGGAAGAAAGGAATGAATGAAGGCATATGGGAAGCCACAACAAGCCTGGGTTGATGGTTAGGTGGTGGTTGATACACAATGAAACGCAAGCGGGAAGGGGGAAGCCGATCTACGATGACCCTTGTGGTTTAATCTTCATCTGGTTAGGAAAGGGAAAAAGAGAAACACGAACTAAAGTAGAAATCGTTGGTGCACCGCTGGTGGTCGATCAAGTCGCAACGAGGGGTTGCAGTCGGTGTCTCTGACGAGCCCATTGTGGTTTCTTTTCTCATCACCGGTAGTGAAGGAGCATGGGTGATTGGGTGGTGTTCCTCAGCCAATCACAACGGAGATGGAGGTTGATAGGGTTGCTACTTGACATCAGAAAGGGAACAGAGGAGGTGGTTGCAATTGCCGGTGGAAGTCCGTTGGTTTCTTCTCTTCATTGGTGATGTTCAAGGTAGAAAACAAAGGAGAAGGGTGGACATTTGCAACGATTTTCAGGGGGGTGGTGCTTTGCCTGCTCTAATCGATAGAAGATGGTGAAAGGAGAGACTGAAAAAGAGGCATCAACTTCTTTTCTCGTGGGGTTCCTTCTTCGCCGATGATGTACAACCTGTGAGGGAGAGTGAGAGAGAACAAGATGTAGAGAGAAAGATACTAGAGAGGGGAACGAACATTGCTTCAAAATGAAGCATTTCTCTGCACAAATCAAAAGTTTCCTTTAACTTTATCTTATGGTGTTTATGGTAGATATTTTGGGAAATAAATAAGTATAATTCATTTTGTGATGTAAATCCCAATTTCTTGATTCTGGTGCCATCATACACTTTTCTAAATTTTTTTCAAAAGTGCCTACTTATTTTTCCGGTCATGGTGATTCTAAAAATGCAGACAAATTTAAATTTTGATATACCGAGCTCCACGAAAACTCCTTTTAAAGTTTCGCGATGAAATGGTTCAAAGTCGACAGATTTTTACGAATCTGATTTTGGTCGAGACTAAAATTTGGATAAAAATGAAATAAAATAATAGATTGTAGTGTGAGTTTAAAAGCAGACTTAGAAATAATTTACGAGACTCGTAGATATCCCAAACGAGGTAGTGCACAGTTCGTTTAAGGAAAATTAGATAAATACTGATTTTTATAACTTTAAAGAGGCGTAACTTCTTCATATGATCTCCGTTTTGGACATTCTTTATATCCACGCTATCAGGAGAATGTAATCTATGAAATTTCTTATCTGTAACTCTAAGATATATTTAATGAAAAATTTATTTTTAACGTCACAAATAAATTAAATTTTTTTTTGGATATTTTCGATTCGATCTTCAACGATATATGGTTTGAGTAGTTTGAGATGTTCTAAAAGTAATTATGCATATAATATCTTTAAGATACATTATAAACATAAAATTACACACAATATGTCCATAATACATAATGGTTCGCGGTGGCTTAACCACTAAAGTCTAACCAATTTTTACCAATTGTTACATAAAATATATCGTGTTCAAGTTCCTAGATGAACATGTGTTAAATAGGTTTAATTCTTACTGGCAGATTATTATTGATGTATAGAGTGCCAAATGGAAGGAGATACTTTGTATGTCTGCACATTCTTTTCTTTTGGAGATGTAGTTGAGGATGAGGTCTAAGAAGGAGTAGCTGAAGGCACTAAGTTTAGCCTTTTGACTTTGTTGGTCAGTTGTTGCAGTCCAAATTTCACTTCCTGAGAATGAATGCCCTTATGTTTAGCAATAATATCCTGAATCTGAATCCATTTGGTGTAACCATATTTGATTAAATCATGAGAAAATATAATTTTAGGGTATTTATACTCTGTCTTTTTTCTAACCAAATGAATCTTTAGCGATTCTCCTTGGTTTAGTGCACATGGCCTTGATAATAGGATCATTCTTAGATATTCGACCAAGAATGTCTCCAAACTTCTTTCTATTAGCTCTATGTCACACAGTTCAGAAACCCTTTTTTGTTGGGCAACAATGTTGTTGAAGAGCTTAATATCTACACTTTGAGTATCTAGCCCTCCATCAGCTGAGGCATGCATCTGAGCAAGCTTGGTTGAGCAACATTTTCTTTATCCTTTCATACTGAATCATTGTGCAACAACATTATTTCCATAAATTATTCTAATAGAAGCCTCCATTCCTTAGTCAAATCTTCCAGATTAACTATTAGTCTTATTTTCTTGGAAGAAGGAGCAGCTTAGAAACTATTAGAGACAGAGGAAATACAAGGGCATGAGGAAGTACCATATTCAGTATCATTAGCTCCCCATTAGAAGGGAGCCTTTCTTTTTCTTGGAATGATTTGATCATCATTAGACTCAATGTCACTATGAGAGCCTTGAGGAATCTCCCCCTCAGAGAATGCACCAAGGTAGATAAAATTTAGAGGAACAGTAGTTTGTGTCATGAAATCCACATCCAGAAAAACTTCATAATCTTCATCGGTCTTAGACTAATTATCATTGTTTTCAGGTTCAGGCTCTGGTTCAAACATAGTAACAATAGATATAGCCATATCTTGATTTATCTCTCTGTTTTTAGCATCATCAGCTCGAGGAGATATAGGAGGAATGTTATGAGGATGAGTGGGAGTTTGACAAGGAGAATTTGATAGAGGAGGAAGTTGAAATAGTGCATTTAAATTTAGCTACGTCGCTCTCCAAGTATTTCTCCAATAGATTGGAGGAGGAGATGTTGGGTTGGAACCATCAACAGGAGATAGGGCGGAAACGCACATCCTATGTCCGTAGGACCTTAATTATATACCACCCTCAAGTGTACATTTAACATTAATTGGCTAACCATATTTTTTCCTAGTCTCTATGATTGAACTTGGCTTGTTGCGCGAGTGGGAATCCTAGATTGGTCTATCAAGGATGTTTAAGGAAGGTTGCAAGTGGATGTCATACTTTTCTTGTTCATACTTTCGGGTTCTGGAAGGGAGATGAACTTTTCGACGTTCGCATCTAGTTTGACGTTACGAGCGATGAGAGTTTTGCGATCGAACGAACAAAAGGGTTTGGTATAACATAAACTCAGTCGGACTAAGCGAGACAACGTCGTAGAGTCGCACGTTAAGTTAGTTTGGAAGGATCATTTTGTTAGGACATTGATGCCCCTAGGTGAGTGTCTCTGGTGTTATCTGTGTTTGACTCGAAGTTAACAAGTACTACTAACACGAGGGTTTTGATGTTTTGAAACTATGAACTTTCATGAAATGATTTTTACTAGATCTCTCTATGATAATTTGGTGAGCTTTAATTTGATGAACGTTCTGTATGATGCTTTCGGGGATAAAGTTAAAGCGTTATTTCAGCATCCACACGAAATTGAGGATCCTCCCATGGCCCCTACACAATCTACTTCATGCGACCTTCCAGTTGATCCACCTCCTCCTAGAACAACTATAATTATCGATAGATTTGAAAAGGAACCTGAAGTCAGCAGAGCCTGCATCACAATACAAGGAAGGAATATTCAAGTTTTAGAAAGGATTATTTAAGAATCACTTCAAATTGATGACAGACCAGAATATTCAATGGAAATTGATGTCCATCAAACTCAAGATGTTCTAGACCACATGGGGTATGAGGGAACATTTCCTCTTACCATCAAGAAACTGCATCCTCCCTACTAGAAATATTTAGCTCATGTATTTGTGAGCTGTATTTCTGGTAGGAGATCTAGTGAGAACGAAATCTCTCTGGTCAATACAGGAGCCATCACAGCTTTGGCTTCGGGAATTGAATTTAATTTTTCAAAGTTTATCCTACATGAACTGGTTCTGAATATTAAAGGAAACAAGAGAGACAAATTTTTGATGTACCCAAGATTTCTTCAGATTATTTTCCACGCCATGCATCCTGAGCTGTAAAGAGGAAATGAGACATTGGATCTTATATCTATCAGTCCAAGTGCATTTGGTTTAATGAAGCAGAAAAGAGGAGGAAAGTTTTTTTTTGAAGGAAAATTTCCCTTAATAAAATTTGGAATTTTTGATGAAGATAGTGATCAGTCAGACTCGGAAGATCAATCTATTCCTACAGAGACTAAAGATGTTGTGATTTCAACTTTTAAGCTGGAAATTTAAGAGGTTCATGTTTCTCCTATAGTTATAGTGGCTGAGGATCATGATCAGCTACATCATGTGGAAGTTGAAACACAAATCCATGAAGAAGATGATGAAGATCTTAATGATGATGTGGAGTTTTTGAAAGAGATATATTTCACCGGGATTAGTGATGATATCGCTACAAACATCGAACACGATCTTGACGATGACGAGTTTGGTCCAATTCCGGGGTTTGACAACGACTGTTTTAGAAAGGTCAATGAAGTTGCTTCTTCAGCAACCAAGACTGGGGAAGACAATAATGTTCTCAAGATTTTTCTCTCCTCTTCCAAGACTTTGGAGATTCCTTCATGTCAAAGAGATGTGAATTCAAAGATTCCTCCCTCTATTTCAACTATCTCTACTTCTGCTCCGCTTATTATTGAATCCTCTCAACCCCAAACCTCCCAGTCTTCCTTAGAAAAAAGTCAATCAAATACAAGTATGAAGGTGCCCATTGTCAGCCATGAACCTCAGGTCTTTTCCACTGTTACCACTACTACTGTTTTCACCCCACCAATACAATCAGATGAAGGTGCAAGCACAATGTTTGAGACAGGTGGTTCATCCTCTAACCCAAAATATTCTCCTACAAGACCATCACTGGATGATGCCTCAATCAGATTGGCTAAGAACCTTCCTCAACACAGTCCAACCTCTTCCTCTCGTGCCAAAGGTATATCTTTCACAGAAGAGCATTCAGGTGATGACAAGTCTACTGTGTCAGAACTTCGAGAAGCGATTGGTGTTCTCAGGCAAGAACTAATTGAAAAGAACATCTAACTAGAATAACATGCTTCTTATATAGAAGATCTTAAAGAAAGGGATGAAGAGAAGTCAAAACAGATTAAGGATCTGCAGACGAATCTTAGCTCTGTGACTGCTTTCTACTTTAATTTGAAGATTAATGCTGAAGCCAAGCTCCCAATAAAGATTAACACGAAAAACCAACTACATTTTAGGGGGAGTTTGTGGTCCAATTAGAAAAGAAAGCTATAAACCAAGAGGGATATTGTTGGGTCAAAAATATGGTTAATACTTTGCTTTTCTAGGAAAATATATTTTTCTGTAATTTTGTCGTTTTGTACGGCTGCACATGTGTGTGCGGCCGCACACCTAGTGTACCGCCGCACACGCATGTGTGGATGTACACTCGTGTGCAACTAGGGGCCCATGTCTCATATATATAGGGTGAGGAGAAAAAAAAAAGAGAGGAGCATGTTCTAGAGAGAAGAGTAATGTGTGTGAGAGAATATATGTATATGGAGCATCACTTAATTTATTGAATACGTCATTAGATACATCTTAATTCTTCTTCTCCTTCTCTTCTATTTGATCCCACATCACAAAAGGATAAACAATTTGGAGGATTAAAACTAGAATTATGTAATAGCCCGGATTCCCAAGTATCTTTACTTTCATATTTTTGATATTCTGTGAGGGGACTCGGCGAGTTGGAGGTCGAACTCACCGAGTCGGGTCGCGGTTTTGGGCGGAGGTTCGCGTCCGGACTCGGCGAGTCCGTGCTGTTTAATGAAACCCTAATTTCCCGGTCCTAAGCCCTATTTAAAGGACCTTATGGCCTTCATTTGCGGCCACCTTGAACCCTAAGAGCACCCATACGACTGTGAGCCCTTGTGAGTGTGTTAGGAGGCCATTTGTTCATCATTTTGTGTATTATTGCAAGAAAGGGGGGGAGAAGATCAAGCTTGAAGAGCTGGGGAGCTTGGATCTGCTTCTATTTCATCAAGGGAACCTTCTTGAGGTAACTTTCAGAGCCAAACTTCGTATTTTGGGTTGATGTATCAAATCTAGGGTTTCTTCTTGTGTTTCATGGCTTAAATTGGAAGTATGAAAGGTCCCATGGAGATATGGTACCTAGATCTGGACCTTAGCAGGTCCAGGAGGTCCCATATGACAAGCTTTATGTCCATTCTCTTGAGTTAGAAGCTAGGGTTGCCATATTAGAGGTTATTTCTCCAAAATGAGCCTTGTATGCATTGCATGGCGACCAAGACTGAGACTTTACGTGACAAATAAGCTTGGGAAGGCCAGATCTATGTATGTATGGAATGAATCTGACCGCAAAAGCCAGTTTTAGCTGGTGCATGGCATGGACTCGCCGAGTCTGAAGAATAGACTCGACGAGTCGCTTGAAGATTGTCCTTGAGACCCCCCCAGTGTGTAGTCCTGACCGAGTTGTGGGTGACTCAGTGAGTCGCAGAGAGTTGGAAAGGTTTTGACAGGTGGACCGAGTCAAGTCGGGGCTCGCCGAGTTGTCCTTGCGACTCGGCGAGTTGAGTCGCGGTGGCCCCGTGATTCAGGACCAGGTGGAACTCGTCGAGTCGGGGGAGTACTCGACGAGTCAAAGTGAAAATCCTTGAGAGTTGGTTAAAACGCGTAGACTCGCCGAGTCACTATAGTGCACTCGCCGAGTCCGGTCCAAATTGACTAAAGACTGTTGACCAAGTCAACCTGTGTTGACTTGATACGGATGGTCAACCTTAGTGGTACAAGTAATAATTATAGATTCATGATATCATAGGAGGATTACAGCTCGAGGGTTCGAGCACGAGTGATTCCAGGATTCACGATTAGCGACTTAGCGAGGCATACGAGGTGAGTCTTCTCACTATACTGTACCTAGAAGGGTTTTGACTGTGTGACCGGAAGGTCGAATACGATGAGATATATGTCTTACGTGTGTTAAGTTATTCATTATATGTGCCATGTATGATATGCTTGATTTGGGCTGGAAGGCAACATGTTATGGGCCGGAAGGCGTGGTCATATGGACTGTAAGGTTGACGTGGGTAGGACCGGAAGGTTTACCCAGTCGGGACGGAAGTCCCCTGAGACACATGGACCGGAAGGTCAAGGCCTGGAAAGGCGTACGTGCGTAGGTTGTATTTTTGGGAACTCACAAAGCATTTATGCTTACAGTTGTTGTGTTATGTGTTTCAGGTACTAGCGAGGACCGTGGGAAGGCGCCGGCGTGATCGTACACACACTCAGGGGAAACCATTTTGTGATCTTTTGTTATGTAATCGGTTGTGACTAAATTGTTACATTGGAACCTAAACTTATTACTCATGTTTTGATGATTGTAAAAATGAAAAATTTTTTGGTTTGGAATTTTATGATGTTACAAGTTGGTATCAGAACCTTGGTTTGAGGGATTCGGGTACCTTCGGGCGTAAACTGAACTCAAACCGGGGATTTGAGAAAATTTTAATTAATAAATCAATAAAATTTGATAATTGATTTTGAGACAACCAAAGAAGAAAGAGTGTGTACGGTCAGCCAGCGCCCAAACGGTAAAATCCCCCAAAATACTCTTACAATATGTGTCATGAGTTATGATATGATATGATACGCATGCTAGTAGACTAGGTATACATATTAGGACTAGAGTGGCCTGATTTTGTGATGCCTTAGTCTAGGGAAACCTGCTTCTATGAGGTGCTTGAGAGCGAGTGGGTAACTAGTGTATGGCAAGAATAGAGTACTTAGGATTCGGGGTTTAAGGAGGAGGACTTGGGGTGAATACCGACGCGGTGTAATTGGTAATATTGGGCCCGTACTACCAAGGACACCGGGTCAGTGGGCAGCCCAAGTAAGAATCCCTGGGTATCGGAGACTGAGTAGGACTGCGTTATTGAGTGCGATTATGCCCGATAGAGTCTCTGATATTTTTATGTTGTATTTCAGAGACATCATGGTTGGACCATGACAAAGACCTGGTACGAGTGGTGTGACTGACGAGGAGCTTCGTCAGATGATTCATGAGGAGGTAGCTTCAGCGATTCGGGCCGAGATTTCGGAGATGTTTGGGTCTATTAAGACCACCCTGATGGAGACATTTGATGAGCGGTACGCCGCGTTGACTGAGGCTGCCGCCGTTGCAGCTACCGCAGCTGTGGCCGCTGCCAAACCACAGGGGGGTGACTCGTTGCTGTTCCGGGAGTTCAACAACACGAAGCCACCAGAGTTTAATGGGACGCAGGATCCGATTTCTGCGATGAGATGGATTGCTGATATCGAGGGATGCTTCTATACTTGTTCATGTCCGGAGCATCTGACGGTTCGGATCGCCCTAAACCAGCTCCGCCTGGGAGCAAAGGATTGGTGGAAGTTCGTGACGACGAACTTCACTCTAGCAGAGGTCTCAGCTGTAACTTGGGAGAGGTTTACTGATATGTTCAGAGACGAGTATGTTCCCCTGGTGGAGAGGGAACGGTTGGTTCAGGAGTTCTTGACCCTCAAGCAGGGTAATGATTTTGTTACGGTGATCACACGGAAGTTTCATGAGAGGGCGATGTTCTGCCCCGAGCAGGTGTCTATGGAGCAGGCTCGGATGAGTCGGTATTTGGGAGTGCTGAGGAGGGATATCCGGGAGTTCGTATCGAACTCGTCATATCATACTTTTGCTGAGCTTCAGGCGAATGCCAGGAAGCGTGAGATCGAGTTGGAGACCCAGGCCAGGGAGGAGGCCGAGTCTCAATGGGTGGATCAGCGGCCAGCTCAGTCTCAGCCGGCAGCCAAGCGGATCAAGTCCGCTAATTTGAGATCCGGAGGTCAGAAGAGCCGCACTTGCGGGAAGTGCGGCAAGGGTCTCGAGGGTTCATGTCGATCGGGTGCTTGCTACAAGTGTAGCAAGGAGGGGCACATTGCTAGAGATTGCCCCAAGGGATTCATGGTTTGCTTCCATTGCAACCAAACTGGCCATCGGAAGGCCGAGTGTCCCCAGCTTCGCCAGGGATCTACGCCTGCTACCAGGGTTCCCGAGGTTCGGCCAGTGAAGGCCGAGGCTCCGAAGGCTCGTGGGAGAACTTTCCAGTTGACTGCGGAGGAGGTCCGCGCGGCGCCTGATGTCGTGGCCGGTATGTATTCTTTCATGTATTTACATTTATACTGAGATATTGTGCTTATATTATTATATGCGTAGGTACTTTTCTTGTGAATCATGTGCCTGCTTTGGTATTGTTCGACTCGGGTGCGAGTCGGTCTTTCGTTTCGTTGGCTTTTAGCCAGCACATCGGTATCGATCGGGAGGCGATGAGTCATCCCCTGCGAGTTGCAATAGCAAATGAGAAAGCGGTATACGCCACCGAGGTGATTCGAGGATGCGTGCTCGAGATTTTTGGGGTCGAGTTTCCTATAGACTTGGTCCCTATAGCTATGGGAGATGTTTGCGTTATCGTGGGCATGGATTGGTTGAGCAAGTTTGGAGCAGTCATTGACTGCGAGAGACAGCTAGTGATGATTCGAGACCCTAGTGGGGGAGTGCTCACAGTTTATGGCGAGGGACCCGGTTGGGGTCGTTTTGTTCGGCTGCCAGGGCAAGGCAGAGTTTGCAGCAGGGCTGTGATGGATTCATAGCCTATGTGATGGATACTCGTGTGACCGCGGAGAGGCCCAATTCGATTGATGACGTTCCGGATTGTATGCGAGTTTTCGGATGTGTTCCCGAAGAGTTACCAGGTGTGCCTCCGGAGAGGCAAGTGGAGTTCGTATCGATTTGGTTCCGGGAGCGGCACCCATCGCCAAGGCGCCTTATCGTCTCGCTCCACCGGAAATGCAGGAATTATCCTCACAGCTTCAGGAGCTGTTGGGAAAGGGATTCATTTGACCGAGTAGCTCGGCTTGGGGAGCGCTGATTTTGTTCGTCAAGAAAAAGGATGGTTCACATCGGATGTGTATCGATTATCGGGAGTTGAACAAGTTGACGATTAAGAACCAATATCCGTTACCTAGGATCGACGATCTGTTTGATCAGTTGC